TCTAAACGCTGCAACAAGAGGTCCTTTTATATGATCACTAATTAGCGGCCTTTTTTCTGACGAGGTGTAAATAGGCGTCAGGAAGCAGACCACCATCGTCACGATTTAAAGGAGCGTGGGCGGAGTTAATGTGCCAAGCCTCCAAACAAAGGCGCTGGTGGTAACGCCGATTAGTGGTGATAATTTTAGAATTATCCCACCCAATTGTATGGTTGGTTAGGCAAGTATGCTCCGATAAAGCTGAATTTTCCTTTTTGCAAAGAAAAACCGCTTTCTGGTGCTCTTTTAACCGTGTACCAAACTGGCGTTTGGTCTATCCGATGTATTCGTTGTCACAGTCATTGCAAGGAATAGAATAAATGGCGTCGGTTCGTTGTTCTTTCGTGACAGGATCCTTAGGTTTGGCGAAAATATGCCCCAAAGTCTGAAAAGGTTTTTGAGCAACTTTAACGTTGTGGCTATTCAAAATTCTCTTGATGGGTTCAATAACACCCTGTATGTAAGGAATAACAGTATATATTTCAGTAGAGCCGTCGATCCAATTCACCCTTGAACGTGAAAAGGATAGACATTTGCCCTTTCTTGATTTAAATGTGTCCAGAGGGGTTCAGGGTAATTTAGAGACAAGTGTCTACCGTTAACCCACCCACACCGACAAATACCTCGCTTTCGATTCTCACCATCCTATTTGCCATAAGAAGTCTGTAGCCAAAACTTTACTTAGGAGGGCTGATTGTCTACCATCATCACTCGATTCGAAGGCTGAGGAGAGGAAATATGTTTCCAATGTCCTAAAGGCAAATGGCTCTACAAAAACTTTTCTCCGTAACTGCCAAAAACCAGTTACAAATAGTAACGCTCTTGATGAAAGGGAACCAGCGACTGGTTTTGCTGTTATTCCTTACATACAGGGTGTTACTGAACCCATCAAGAGAATTTTGAATAGCCACAACGTTAAAGTTGCTCAAAAACCTTTTCAGACTTTGGGGCATATTTTCGCCAAACCTAAGGATCCTGTCACGAAAGAACAACGAACCGACGCCATGTATTCTATTCCTTGCAATGACTGTGACAACGAATACATCGGACAGACCAAACGCCAGTTTGGTACACGGTTAAAAGAGCACCAGAAAGCGGTTTTTCTTTGCAAAAAGGAAAATTCAGCTTTATCGGAGCATACTTGCCTAACCAACCATACAATTGGGTGGGATAATTCTAAAATTATCACCACTAATAGGCGTTACCGACAGCGCCTTTGTTTGGAGGCTTGGCACATTAACTCCGCCCACGTTCCTTTAAATCGTGACGATGGCGGTCTGCTTCCTGACGCCTATTTACACCTCGTCAGAAAAAAAGGCCGCTAATTAGTGATCTTATAAAAGGACCTCTTGTTGCAGCGTTTAGATCACCCCTGATGAAGGCACTAGACAGGAGTGTCGAAACGTTGGGTCTATGAATTGTAACTTCTTCGGTTACATTCATTAAATCTGCAAACCAGTGTAGCTTCAAACTATGTCTGATTGTCCACCTGGTTGCCGTGTGAACTTTAATATAACTTACAAACTATTATTGGACAAAATACGAGAAGTGAGTATTTTAGATCGCTAGAGGTTACAGTGAAATGAAAATTTAATAAAAGGTTTCATTAGTAACCGAGAAAATCTCGTTGGATTAGGCGCATACTCAAATACGCAATAGGACTACTTCAAGGCTTAAATGTGAGGTTGGGTGAACAAAAGCCAAAAACCAGGTGGAAGCTCACTACAACTTTCTATTTCCTCTTTTCCTACAAGTTATTCAGGTTGCTGTTGGATTTCTTTAAGTCATTACGCTGGTTCCACAGATTGGAAAGTAGAAACTGAAATAAACCTCGTTCCACGATCAGATAACGGAAAAATTAACTCATCTCCTGTAACACGAAGTCCAGCCATTGTTCGATTTCCAGGAGGTTGTCGTCAGTCATTTCGAATCCCAGTTGAAGACCCAGATGGCGATACAGTGAAATGTCGCTTTGCGACTTATTCAGAGTCCCTCAAAGTCAATACAAGTTTTCCTTACGGTGAAATGGATGAGGTAATTAAAGGCAGGATTTACCACAAGTTGAAATAGTCTTATTTTACTTTTATTTTTTTTGATACTAATACTAATAAATTTTACAGTACTCGACAATACAATGTAATACAATGCATTACTTACAATACTGCTAACTTGCACTAATAACAATACACTATATGAAATAGTCTTATGATATAGTACATCGTCTAAAAAATTTGGTTTGAGGTCTAGACGTTCGGAAAAAAAAATGCATGGTGCGAATTTTCCAGAAAGGAAACGTTAAGTATCATAGGGAAACCACTGTAGTATGTCAGGGGCTGAAGTGTGTTCTAAGCTCCGGGAATACGTCTCCTGACGAATAGGAATATATGTATTATTCAGCGAACTCAAAAGGGAGTTATCAGCTATCAATTTCCCTCGCAGAAATCTTGTGTTCTAACATACAATGGGTCGCAAGCAGCAGTTGGTGGAATTTTTGTAGTAGCATTAACTTTAGAAGACTTTCCAGCGGGAAATACAAACTTCAGTAACGTCACGTCGTTAAGCGGTATACCATTACAGTTTCTTGTCTCGGTGATGGGTAACCATACTGGTCATTGTGACGAAAAGCCTGTCTTTACAGCATCCACCCCAAAAGATGGTGAATGTTCCGATGTGCCGATTGGCTCTGCATATAGAGCAGTGATCGAAGTACAGGTTGCAGACTTCTCAAAATCGTATGTAAACTAAACAACTTGCCCTTGATTATTTTCTTCTTTCGATTTTTTTCTACTAAAGAGACGCAAATTCCCATCTTTTAAGATCCTTATAAACATATAGATAACAATCTCCCATAAATAATGACCACCGTTGAAGTGTATTTTTATAAGCTACTATATAAATTCTTGGTATACTATTCCATTCAGGTCGTTTAAATGATAAAGAATTTCTATGAGAACGGAAAACAAGAATCAATTAACGCTTCCACGGTTTTCCGCAAACCGTCATCTGCTCGAGTGAAATTGGTAACGCAACAAGTTATAATTTCTAGTATGGAACCTGAAAATTTCTCGGCATTTAGCGTCATTATCATATATGATAACGTTATTCTATTCAATCATCTCAGCATTGTGGAAATAAGCACTGCATCTCCAAGTGGAATGCAACTTACATCTTTGCGCAATCGTGGACAAATCTACTACCGAGATGTCACATGGTACCCCAGTCAACATCAAATTGGACAGCAGTTGTTCTGTTTTAAGGCCCGCGACTCTGCTGGGTAAGAATTGCAGGTGGTATGGTCATGAACTCCAAATATTATCGTTTAGGCGGTTTACAGAATTGGTAGGTCATTCGCGTTTTTCACTCTGCCGCGTAAGAAGTTAAGGTGTTCTGTACATTATTACCAGAGAAATGGCTCGACTATGGTTAATAGTTAGATTCAGTATTTTAAGGGGGGAAACCAGAGGAATTTTCGTTTTATAAAGTATCTTAACATTATGTTCTGGGGATCTTATCATTAAAGTTTGTGGGGACAGTTTCCCAATTATTTTGATTAATGACTTGCATCTTACTTGTAAGCCTGATTGCAACTGATATGACCATAGGTCATTAGCAGCAGATATTTACTTGTCCCCATCGCTTCATACGCTCCATGAGTGAAATCGGAGACTCATTGGAACTTAGGTTTTCATGGATATGCGTGGGCGTGTGTCTGTGTGTGTGTGTGTGTGTGTGTGTGTGTGTGTGTGTAACGAAGCGTAGGTAGCGGTTAGTGTATGGCTTTACTGTCGAAACGTAGAATTTCTTCGTTTTCTAAAAATTCTCCTACAACAACTCAATCGTTTACATTTTTCTACTTATTTATCTATGTTATTTATTTATTTGCTATCCTTATGTGATGTATTTTCTTTTTCAGACTGGAAAGTGACTGGCGATGTGTGACAATTCTCGTTGGCACGAGTAAGGAGATTAAACACTTTTCCTTTTCAAGAACCGAAATGATAGTCTGACTAGATTAATAATTCATGTTGCGTCGCAGTAATAGTTAGTACATCAGTTAGAAATCTGCTACTGAGACAGGTGAATTCGGTTACCTGTTGACTTTCATCAAAAAGAAAAAGTAAAAGTCGGAACTGGCTTGTAACCCAGTAAATCTGGGATTGGTGTAATATTTGAAGGCTTGAAAAGGTTTCCTTTTCGTGGGGTCTACCGATGTAATTGCCATTTAGATTGTTGGTGCACCAATGACGTCCTACTATCTCACTGAGAATGGAAAGAAAACAAATGACATTTTGAGCCGCTTTCCCACAGGAGTAGGCTTATAGGCAGAGTAGCAGTATCATACAAAAGTGATAAGGAACTACCGCATGAAGGATTATGTCATTGGTATTTCTAAGCAAAAAATAGAGGTTCAACAATTAATGATCAACAACCATTTCCAGGCAGTACTCCGCGAGTCACTTTAGCAAGTCGCATACCCATAACACCCGTGAGCAGATATGGATCAGGTTATTCCAACTGGAGCGTTCAGTTTGACCGATTGGTAGGGACAACAAATTTGTAAACTTCGTGCTATTTGCTATTATTTAAGAGTATCGAGACACAGTTATCAAAAGAATTTGAGGTCAAGCTCTTTTTCCAATTAAACCTTTTTGGGTGCTTATTTATTTGTCACTTTCATCTGATTGAGTTTGGTCACATTTGGCCATATTTTCGCGCATCTTTGGAGAACATTTCATATTATGTTTTATGCTCTTAGCAAATTCATAACCCACAATATTAGCCTTGCTTTTTTACATAATTTTTTTTACGTATGATTCATTAACGAGGAGAAAAACTGTCCAGGTTGTCATTGGCTTTATTATGACTTTTTGAGATATTTTAAACAAAGGGATCTTGTAGTGTCCTCTCCCGCGTTTTTCGTAGAGTCTGAGTTTTTTTTCTATTTGGGGCCCCCCGCATGG